AAAATCTATTAAAAATTAGCACCTCTATATGAATTTAAACGTAGAAATGACATAAACGATGAGGATATTTTTGTACAACATAAACGTACGTTTATTGGTAATAATAGATATTTAATTAATGATGAGGAAAATATATTTTTCATATAAAGCCAAATGCAAGCGTAATAATTGATGTAATAAATATACCTATATATAATATTAATCAACAGGATGAACAAATATTAAAATCCGTTCGACCAAGTAACTGTTACCAATTTAAACCAGTTAAGATTAAGCTCTCCAAAAGACGCCATTATTGATTTTAAAACCACTTAACTGTAATTTTTTCTTTACCCTTAGAAGTAGGAGTTTTATTTTAAATGTTTATGAGACTACGTTTAACAACCTTTTAATGAAGAAATGACCAAAATCGATTCAAAATTATTTACGAATATGTTGCGAAATATATACAAAAAATAAAGCTGATTTAAGTCTTTTGGCATTCGGTCGAAAACGAGACGATAGAAAATATACATAAATGTATCTGTCCCTGTCCCGCATGAAAAATTATTACATACATTATTTTAAACTAATTAATGTGCACTCTAATACAGGGTAGACGAAGAAAGCTCTAATCCGTAAAATAATCATAATTATTATATTATAGACTAGTTTTAGCATACAACGATTGACAAAAGTCATTCATGCAAAAAGCAAGATTTCTCTTTACTCCAAATTCCATTCAAATTACACATTCACTATATTATAATAAATAAATATGTTATATATATACACACATACATTCAATAATCATACACATTTTTGTAAATTTAAACACTGGAGTACAAGCATTTGTGTTCATCACACAAATAAATGCCCCCAGGGGGACAAAGCCGCGACCGCTGGCACCGCAACTAGAGCCACTACAAACTGAGCCAAACGTGTCGTCAAATAAATATGATAGTTTTACATATTTTTTAATCTACCAAATATTACACATTTTTTGTCAAAACATATGGAAAACGGAATATTTTCGGGATATTTCCACAAATCTTAAATCTTTATAACTTTGAAATTTTGCAACCATTGTAGCGTAGCACCATTTATCTGACAGTGTCTATTGTACCGGAAATATTTTCTGGCTGTGATTTTGAAATAATTGCGTTAAACGTTTATATAATTAAAGTTCTGTATGTTATGAGAGTCTTGTTAGTAATAAAGCCTCTCATCTTATATGATGACTATGTTGAAAACAAAATGTCCAATATGTTAATTCATTAAGCCAATAAACTGTAACGGTGTGAATAAGTTATAAAAACCCCACCCAACTTATTTACTAATTTTCGCATATAAGTATAACTATTCAAATAAATCTTGAGCTGAAATAAAGCTTGATAAGGACAAGAAGAAAACTGCAAATAACGTCTCTTTGTTGATATAAGAAATAAAAAAAAAACGTGTCATATACGCACGTAAGAAGTTATACTTCTTTGGTGTAACAGAACAAAAATAGCTAAAGATTTCGTCCTATAATATGTCATAACTCTCTGTTTGTAAAAGGAATGATAAATTAATCAAATAATTAAATAAGACATATTAGGCATATTACAATCACATAATTTAGAATATCGCTTAAGGAAAGAATACAATATTATATATCATTTGTTAGACAATAACAACGGTTACTATGGCAACAAACAGTTATCAGCTAACTTCATCATGTCGCTTTTTGGCTGTCGGTGTGCGCGCGCATCGTAAAAATTTTACTTCCATATTTTTTCCCAAACGTCCTAAAAGAAGTATAACTTTAAAAATATTTTAAGTAAAAATGGCTACTTGAATAATTTCTATTTAACAGTTATCAAATATTCTGTCAAAAGAACAAAAAGGAACTTTCTAAAATCATTTAATTGAAACAAAGCAACATCCGATATTATTAAAGGTTTTGTCAGCAATAAATGATAATGGTTTGGAATATATTTCAATTAATTTTGCTACTCACTCACTTTTAGATATACTGGAGTGGCGTATTATTTTAAGGATATTAGCCTTTATTGGAATATTCAGAAAATATATTTTACGCCACCGCATCTACAGGTTTGGCGAGCTTTAAGTGCCGCCAATCTACAGCGGTGGCGTTAAATACGTAAGTACCCGATTTTTTTTCAACAGTTTCTCATTTAAAAAAATAATATTCCACTACTATAAGTGAAACCAAAATAATATTATGTTTACAATAGATGATCGTGAATGAATAAATAGCATAAGTTGACGCAGAACTTTACATGACTGACTTATAATCTGATATCGTTTAAAAACCTTTGAAAATTCACTCAACGGCAGCAAGTTACTTTATATAGTAAACATAAATTAACATGTCTGTTTACATAAGCTTTTAGATTGTATGGATATATGTATGTATGCACTTTAAAAGCACTGCACTGAGAGTCTATGCAAGCCCAATAAATATGTAAAAAGGTTGTATAGTTGTTATTTCTCGCATAGATAATTTATGTGGCTTGATGAGATGAATAATTTCGTATACATATATAATCTTCTGAAGTATTTTAAGGATAAGGAAAGTACAGAAAATAAAAAGCGACAAAATCAGACAGAAAACTAAGATTACCGATGCACTTACACATGCACTGACATTAAAGTGGAGTTGGGCTGGTCACATATCACGATACTCTGATAAAAGGTGGACTATCGAATCTACACGATGGAAGGGACCAATGGCAGGGAAAAGAAAGGTAGGAAGACCTATAAAACGGTGGACTGATGAGATAAAGAAAGTGGCAGGAGAACAATGGATGAAGATTGGCAAAGATAAAAAAACGTGGAAGGAGCTGGAGGAGGCCTTCACCCAAACAGGGATCCATATCTCGGAACAAATAAAAAAGAATAATCATACTAACAACCTAGAATTAGCAAAAATACTAAAAACAACTAACAACCTTTGAATGTAACTTTTAAGATATGAAATAAATGTGGCTTAATTATTATTATTATTATTATATATAATCTTCTGAGGTTTATAAAGCAATATAAGTTATTATATTTATTCAATTAATGCATAAAATGGTTTTAATATTATTCACAGATAAATTGGTAAACTATTGCCATAACGACATGAGTTCAAACAGGTTCAATTTTTGTATAGTTTAATTATTCTAGTTAGTTAGAACATATATGTATAGAAAAGTTTTCTTCCTATTGCAAGGTATTTAAAATATATTATAGTTTATTCTTATGTTTTATAGGTACTACTTACTACCCTTATCATGTATTCTATTTAGCCCTTTTTAACGTCCCACTGCTGGGACTGTTCTCTCAGACATGCAGGTTTCTTCACGATGTTTTCCTTCAACCTCTTATCTTCTATTTTATCTTATTTAAGTAAAATTTAATAGTTGCGTATTCAATTTAGTCAGCAAAATAACCTGTTATATTGTTTATTTTCTTAATGTACAAGTAGTACCTTAATTGTGGGACAATTTATAAAAAAAAATACGTCTAAGACCGAGCATTATAAATTTAAAGGGATTTTGATGACAATATTGCCCATTTAGTTAAAAAAATATTATTAGTCGAAAACAGCTGGATGATTTGAAAAAAAATTCTTATTGCTTAAATAGTAACATATAATTATCTATTTAGACGTAATAAAATATAAGATTTATTTACCATTTTTAAATTTTATCCTTAAAGGAAAAACATAAAATCTGATTCCTAGACGTTATTGCCTACAACTCAGTTTTAAACTAAAGTAGCCTTTATCGTCCAATCTATATTACTTTTCAGTTTATTCCTATTAAGATTTTTATTTATTATCAAAACTAACCTACTAGTACAAGTAATATCTTAAGTTCCATCAAGGTTGACGGTTCCGGCGTTTGCAGCTTTATTGATATTTTTATTTATATAAATGGTTTTTTTTTTCTCTTTATTTAAAGAAGCTTTATCACTCAGTGATTATGTCGCCCTCGTTATAAAAATTACATATTTTATTAACACATTCTTAATTACAATCTACACTATAAAGTATAAACTTATTCATGACTTTATAGTGTAAATTGTAATTAAGAATGTGTTAATAAAATATGTAATTTTTATTGTAAGATTCATAATTTCTTCAAAGATATAATGTTTAAAAAGTATAAATGGTTGATATGTCGTATACATGCAGAAATGCAAAGGTCAATCGCATTGAGTACACAGGTTTGTCGATATTTTATTGTTCTGTATAGACTATGGACACTTGCTCAATTGGCAGCATTAGTAGGAAATAATTATTTTTTATATGGACTAAATCGAATTATTGATTATCAACTCATGCCGAAGACAGTTACCAACGCAAATATTACTTTAATTTTCGATATTTAATTTTAAATATTTCGTTCGTTTGAATACATATTATAAACAAAATTCAATTCCAACTTTTCTGTGAAATCGCACTTTACGCATAGCTTTATTTATTTGTATATAATTTTTGGACCTACTGCAAAGATGTTAAAATTTTGTTATACAGGTAAGCCTAATAAAAAAGTATTTTTGTCAATTCATCATGCGAGTAAGCGTAAATTTTGTGGAGAACTAGTTATATAATAAACTTCCTAACTTTAAATGGAGCAACGAGTTAGTTCTCACTAGCTTTTCTCAGCAGAACCACGTTTTGAGTTTGTAAGAGCCCTCTTAAGCTGCATTCTATCAAATGGCCGACAGTTTAGTCGAGTTCATAATTAATGTAACCATAATATATTATCCAAGTGTAATATTATTAATTCAATACAGACCAAAAGTATTTTTTTTATTTTTTCGCCGACATCTTTGTACAAACCTGAATAATTTGAATATATGAAAAATCCGCACTGTGCGGTCTAACGTTTTCCCGAGAGACCTTATTTAAATTTAAAAGTATACTTAAGTTATGTATTAAGTATACCTTAATTTTCCATCAAAGGATCTTAATAAATGAAACACGGTGTTAATAAAAAACTATAGATTTTTAACATACTCACTTCTCGTGCTAAGAGAAAGTTTTTGAAGGAGCTGTTTTATTTTAGTAGTTGTAATATTCGTTTCGTCGAAAGGTATATTGGGAATGTTCCTAGCCCCTTTCTTCTGTAGAACAGTGAATATGGCACTGAGTGTCATGAAGCAGGCACTATTTCCTTTACCGGTAGATGGACCGTTGTTGTGATACAGCATCCCAAGTTTCCTCCAGTTGAATTCCTGCAACAAATAATAAGCTATAAATTTTGAAAATTTAATAGTAATTTCTACAAAAATATTAAATGATATAACAAATCTAATACTACGAAAAAAATGACTTTATTTAAAAAACGTACAGACTAATATACCTACTTTATAACATGCTTAACTCATACAAACTGTATGATTTTATACTTATATTTTTAAACCATAGAAAATATAATATAACATAGTCTGTCGCCAAATTATTATACTAAATTTTTAAGTTAAAATAGCTAATTGTTAATTTTATTTCAATTTTAACCTTCAAACATACGCTACTTAATAACGTTTGATTGAAAAAAAAATGAGAAACATAAAACTATCTTCTCGGATTTTTTCGCGTGTTTATATTGATTTTTGGTTCCCGACGTTTCGAATGCTTTACAATAATCGTGGTCATGGGAGAGTCTCTCCCGTGAGAGAAAAAATCCAAAAAGATAATTTTATTTAAAATGTCAAATATGTACCTATTTGCGTTAATCTAAGAAAGTATTAGATATGAGAAAATTGATCCATCATCATTCTATAACTTTACAGAAATTATTTAAGATAATATTATTTATTGATTACAAAACTTATGCTAGTTTAATTGATCATACAATAGTTTTTGTTCAACTTAATAAATTATGTAATAAAAATAGCTTAAATTAAAATTAAGTAGAAGAGAAGGCAGAGGACTATAACTTTCATAGCAAATAGCAAATTTTATTGAAAAATAGTGGATATATTTGTTTATAAACGCTTCAGATAAATATAAATTTAAACGTATTAAGATTATAAAAACTTAAACATTAGTCAATAAATAAACAAAATAAAACTTAAAGTAAAATTCGAAGCAAATTATTACGAGTCATAATCTAGCTAACAATAGTAGGGGAGGCAGCATAGCATTTCACTTAAAAAAAAATTCTAACTGAGTCGAATCTGTACATTAAATATTTCTGAAAATCAGTCATTATAATCGACACAGAGGCCGAATTTTTGTCTGTCTGTCTGGCTGTCTGTGACCGCATCACGGAAAACCACTTAAATAATTTTGATGAAACGTAAGATGATAGCTGGTTCAATATATAGGATACTTTTTATTGCGGGAAAATATCTCATGTCTGAGAAATCTATACTAAGTGTTAAAACCTAAATAGGGACGAACCCGAACGGAGCGAGGGTTTGTCGCTAGTACCTTCTAAAATCCATGACATCAATAATTTTCTATTGCTGTAGAGCAAAAGGCATGCTAGCATGTCAAAATGTAGATACAAGGTTTTGCTTTAAATATATTGATATCGTGCCAATGAAATAGTTTTTAGATCATTCTTAACTGAAAAATAATAATCTGTTTCATTAAAGATATTGTACACACGCCAGTGTCGATAGCAAAGAAAATTATCAGTTGTATTTTTAACGAAGTTGAGAAAGTTGAGAAGCTTTGTGTTTTTATACACATCTATACTAATCTTATAAAGAGGCAGAGTTTGTTTATTTGTTTGTTTGAACGCGCTAATCTCAGGAACTACTAACTCAATTTCGAAAATTATTTTGATATTAGATGAGACTATAGGCTATATATCATCATGATACTACCCAAGGGAGCGGACCAGTAATCATAAATGTCAACAAACCGGGCACACTTTCCGTTTCAGAATTTACGTTACATTATAATAGTAACACTGATGTTTATAAATCAAACAAATTTAAAGCGGGTGAAACCGCGGGGCGCAGCTGGACAATATTCTTCAATCTAGTAACAAACGTAGTGTAATCTAATTGAATACTGGGTAATTCTACCTTTCTTAGTAAAATCAGCAAAAAACTTACCAAAAAATATTGAAATTATTTTTTACGTACTCGTAGGTAAATATAATTTGCTTTTGTAAATAAAGGGATTTAAACTGAGTCTATTACGAATATTAATCGAGTGAAAACGACGTGATAAGTCGATTTATAGAGGGTTGAATCCACGCAAATCAAATAATCAAAGCTAATTAATTATTTTACCACCAGTATGGAGTGATAATAAATTCGATTACAGTATATATAGCACGTTTTAATGTGGATATAATTATAGAAAATGTTAAAATATTTCTTTGTAAAATACTTGAAATTGTATATTAGTTAAGTGGCTTCTGCATTGGTGGTTGCGCATTTAATAAAAATGCATGTGTGTGTGTGTGTGTGTGTGTGTATGTTTGTGTGTGTGTGTGTGTGTGTGCGCGCGTGTGTGTGTGTGTGTGCGCAAGTGTGTGTGTGTGTGTGCGTGTGGGTGTGCGTGCGTGCGTGCGTGCGTGCGTATAATTTGATTAATTTAATGTGTAGCTTAACTATTCGTAAGTTGCATTACAGAAATACAACAAAAATAAATTGACAATAATATATAATTTTAAATATGATAAATGTCAATTACAAATATAAGTCATCGAATTTATCAACGTATTACATAAGCACATCATTTTAATCCTGCTCACATAACCTATTAACACATGCCCCACATGTACTGCCTTCCATTTTAATGTGTAATGTGCGTTTGAAGTGATGGATGTCAAGCATTCAAATGAAGTCACTTCCGAAGTGTTCATCCTACCTTAGTCGGATCTATATAGTCAGCCTTGACATTATTCTTAGTATTAGTAGAATCTTTATGACTTTGTATTCAGCCCTTTTTAATGTCCCACTGCTGGGCACGGGCCTCCCTTCAATACGTGGGGGGATTTATGACTTTACTCTGTACTATTTATTTTTAAAGTCAAATATTTTATGATTATAATAATATGATAAAGCTATTAATTTTTATGTCTATGACTTAAGTATGAAGTCATTAAATTTAAAACTATACAAGTAAGTATTATTTATATTATATATTTTAATGTATCAGAATTAGGACGGAGATTTTATATACCTACTCAATGAAAAAAAATTTTCGTGACTAACTTACTAACCCTGATTGTTAGTGTATTGTCGATTTTTTTAAATAAAACTATAAATTTTGACCTAAACACACATAAATGCTATTATAATATACTATAAATATCTATGATTCCTTATTTCAATTGGTACTAAATTATTAAATGTTAATTAACATCCGTTCATACAAACTAAATGTAACTGGTTTAGATTTTTTATAACAACAAAAATCCTTCGGAATATTCATTAATAAGACCAAATATTACCTCAAAATTAATCTAATTTTACTAAGAATCATTCAAAAAGTTTCCATGCTTTATGTAAACTCATGCATAAAATAAAAATAGAAAAAAATCTTTTAATAAATTTTACGTTACTTTTAAGTACACGGGTATTTCTATAACAAGAAGATGTTATATATTTAAACTACCTACTTTATGTCTATACTTTATATTCAAATAAAAAAAAAGATTATCTCTGCTCATTTGTATTTTAAATATATTCAGCGTCAATCTACCCATGAAGGTAAAATACATAAAAAAATTTTTATCGCAGTCGCTAACGAGTTATTTTTAGAATATATCCAATATACATTGATTTAAATTATAAAAACTAGAAAGAAATAATAAGTCAAGCAAAGCAACATAACGATGAAAATAAAACACATAATAGTTTTCGAACGTATTTTGAAACAATACAACACAAACAGTACAACACCAAACTAATTTGTGCTAAATGACACCGATGTTTACCTCAAAAACTTTCCGGATAGCCACTCCAGCTTGAGTGTAACTTCCCATCATCCTTGTCAAGGTCAAATAACTTGGATGTTTGTAGCCGAAAGCTTCTGCCTGTGCCCCAGCAGTGATAACAGGAATCCGCCAAAGACTAGCGTATCTTGCCACTGGAGCGATAACGTATTCACAACCAGGTCCAATAAAAGCATCTGTAAGTGTATTTGTCGATCACATTTGATATATTCAATATTATAAACTTTGTAAAAAAATGTACACCAACTTCAAATTTTGATTTTTACTCTGAGAATTGGAATAACTACTGATTTTCTTGAAATTTATTTGTTAATTTATATGTGACTCTTAAGACATAAACTATTCATTAAAAACAAATCGTGAAAATCGGTTTATAATTATTAGTTATATCACGTAAAATACATGGAAAAATATACAATATTAATAAATTTATAATACCCGAATTGAGTACCTCCTCTTTTTTTGAAGTTGGTTATAATACAAAATTTAGACATTTTAGCTATACTTAAATGCTTTATAATAACTTACCAGCAGAACCGTTGACGTAGAACTCAAAAGCTGCTAGTGGTCCTTCCACAGATGAGCAGCGAGTGTCCCTATAATCAACAAGCACTTTCCATCCAGGCAAAGGACCATCAGGTAAGGTTATAGCCATTATTGCCATTTCAACTATCGGTAAAACTTTAGCTAGTGACAAAACTTGACTTGGATCAGCTGGCAGAAGGATTCCCAATTTTAGAATTTTGTTATGGAACTGGTGACTTTCTGGTCTTAAATTGAAATTTGTTCTTTTCACATAATAGGGATGTGTCGCTAAATCATGGGGGTACCCCACTGCCCGAGTATTATCATATATATTTTTCACTTCATTCTGATTGACCTCATCATCATCTGTGCTGTTATCTTTATTTTTATAATAACTGTAATATTTGTTAAATTCAACAGCTTCAGGTAAGGAGTATTTAGACTTCCCTCCTTGATCTGTAGATGTTGTGCTTTTTATCACATTCTTCAATAGAGGTGATTCGTTTAAGTTGCGACGCCAAATTTTAGAAGTATTTACTCGTAAGCTTAGATCTTTTTTGTAGAGATCGAAATTTTCTTCAAGAGACTTCTTATTTACATTATTAACACTAACATCACACATAATTATCACATTAAATACACACATATAGTAAACGAGGAATGATGCTAACATAGATACTTTAAAATTTGATTTATGATACAGTTTTTTAACCGGGTATGTTTGAGCATTGTCCACAATTTCACTTGATTGTTCATTTTCATAGCGTGTCTCTGAATGATAGTCTCGTCTCTTCCTGAAGTTGGCTTTATTAGCATATGACGTTTTCTTACACCAGTAATTTTTGAACTGTGACGGGAGAATCGCATGAACGATCTCTCTTACCATTTTATTGTTAGTTTATCTCATTTTATTAGTGTCGATACGTTCACTTGCTTCATCTATTAAATTAAAAATAAGTACATTCTTTTGGCTACTGACAAGCGTTGATCGTTTTTGGTTCATTACTGTTAATCGAGATATAAAATATTGATAGTTTATATTATTTTTACACTAATACTTTATACTAATTACATATACTGCATACTAATTCTTAAAAAATAAATCGCAAATGTTAGACTATGGAAGAAAATAAGATTATGAAAGTTCCAAACAATATTATCTCAAAGCAGGATATTTTTCAAGGAAACGAATAACCTATTTCTGATCATTTGGAAACATGCAGAAATAAGTAATTTGGCATCTTGACAGAAGAACTGCACTGAGAGTATGCGGTTAGAATTAAAAAGTGTTCAATTTTCTTTAACGCTTGTGCTAGCTCGTTTTGTGATTTTTGACGTCTATGATACTACTTTATTTGAATTAATGGAATGAAATTATATTATGTACTCGTATGTTTATAACTTTATGTATTTTTTTGTAAATTTATATTTATAATTTTTTTATAGAAAATATTATACCTCAAGAGATATCTAGTGTAGGTCACATTTAAATTCCATCGTAGACTCCACAACTATTGGGGGAAATTAATGAAAAAAGTCTTTTATATCGAAAAATGAACATCGAATTCATTTTAAATATTAGACATTATCCTTCTAAAATATCTGTCTAAAATCAAATTGGCACAATTTCGAAACAGTTTGACTAACATCAAAATTGAATATCTGTTTTTTTTAATATCTCATCATAATGTCATAATAATTAACATTTTATTTCTTTATGTAACTTATATTCACGTTCTTGCACTAAAAACATATCAAGCTATTTTGATGTGCTTTTGACTGAAAAAAAAACAATACTATATGTTATATATTGTAACATATAATAAACTATATTATATCCTTAATTTTTTCTTTAACTAAAAAAAATGTCCAAATAAAAAAATGTAGAGTCAAATAATATATAACTCAAATCTGTATAGAAAAAAAAACTTTATGTGTATCCTAAACACATGGCCTTGACTATTACAGGTTTTTTTATCGCCAGGCATGTCACAAGCTCTATTTTTGTCGCGAACACAGGAAGTATATATTTAGAATCATAATAGAAGTACTTATCATTTGTTTGCGTAGTCCTAGTTATCGAGCGAATGTTAATTAAGCGGTTTTATGGGCTAATAATATTTTTAATTAACTTTAAGGCACGAAATTGTGTACTAAGATTTACAATTGTAAATATGAAGATTATATTCTTTACAGGCAAGCATCAACTGTTTAGGTATATATTGAGAATAAATTTTGTGAATACGTTTAAAATCGGTAAATAAATAATAACACGCAACATAACTATAATAATAAACAGCCGACTTCTCCATCTTAAAATCCTGCAAATTATGTAAGCGAAGGGCCGTTGTTTCTTTTTATTAACATATAGGTATTTAATTATTATTATTATTTTCTATATCACTTGAAATAGTGTCTAATTCTACCAGAAATTAGTCACGTTTTTTCATGCTATCAGATATTAGAACAATCGAGTTTTTTTTAAACTTAATTCTACATAAGGCATAAGGAAAAACATTAACTCTAAAAACGTATTTTTTATAAATAGACCTTTTTTCATATTTTCGTGTGTTTTATTACTTACTATGTTCCGTTGTATTAACATACTTTGCTATAAATACAGCAGACTATGTATCACTATTTAACAGGCACCCTTTGAGATTCTGACCTATTCATTAGTACATAGCCCTACAAATTACATAACATATTAAAATCGTATAAGACATGACGTTTCATGCGAATAAGTATTAAAAAAACGTGTGTGTACTTGTGTACGCACGTAAGAAGTTATACTTCTTTGGAGTAACAGAACAAAAGAGCTAAAGCTAGCTAAAGATTTCATCCCGTATGTCACAACTCTCTGTTTGTAACAGAATGCAGCCTAACTTCACCATGTCGCTTTTTGGCTGTCGGTGTGCGCGCGCATCGTAAAAATTTTACTCTCATATTTTTTTCCAAACGCGCTAAAAGAAGTATAACATAAAAAATCGTTTTTGTCTGACCAATTCATACACAAACTTAGAAATAAATTAAATAATAGTAACTATTGAGTATATAATACTGAATAATTATTCATTAGCCCTTAATTGGCGAAGATATCACATGATTATTGAATAAAGAACGACTACCTCCGTACCTCCTAATTTTGAATTGAAATCTCAACATAATTATAATAATTGCTAGCTTTTTAGCATAATTAGAGTTTTATAATCTATACAGATAAATAAAATTGAAGTTTCTGTTTGTAATTTTAAAGAAACAGCTTTTTACTAAATGCATATGTAATTATGTGTATACGATACTTATAAGAAAATCTATTTTTTTAATTTTTTTCTACATGTTTGTTTGTTCCAACTAATCTCCGAAACGGCTGAATCGATTTTGACGGGACTTCCACTGGCAGATAGCTCATGTTATGAGGAGCATCTTAGGATACTTTTATTTTAGAAAAAGAGTTAGTGTACCGCTCAAAAAAATTAAAACGTACCTAGGGACGCACCCGAGCGAAGCGACGGTAAATCGTTAGTTAATTATACAATTAATATAATTATATTAATGTAGTATTACTTAATTACTAGAGAACACAAAGTATACATCATTTTGAGCTCGAACATGTGCTTAGACGATGTTGTTTCATATTAAATAAGTTTAGGTAGTTCATATTTTTCAAGGTTATAAGATAATGCTTGTAACAATTGTATCAAAGTTTTGGCATTTTGTTTTCCCAGAATGATAAAATTGCGTAACTTTTCATAGTTATGTGGAAAACAATGAAAATAACAATGCAGTTAGTATTAAACTATTTATTTTCAGTAAATATAGGTACATAACTTTAGTAGAGATAGTAATATAAGTATAAGCATAAAAGTTTAGATTCACCAACCAAAATCAAATTCCAAATAATATTTAATATTGAACTACATAATTTATAAAAATTATAAAAATGTTTAAAATTAACAAGTATTTATTATATAAAGACAATTTTTTTATTTCTTTAAAATCGTTATAATATTCTGGGTAGATACTGTCTGTACTACAAAATTGAGACGTTTAAAACCTTAGTCTCTCCCGTGACCATGATTACTTGTAAAGCATTTGAAACGTCGTCGCCAAAATTCAAAATATATCCGCGAAGAAATCCGAAAGTTGAAGAGATAGGTATATAGGATACTTTTATATACCGGTTTATAACTAATTCTCCCTTCTTATATACATATATATTGTTGTAGGGGTGTGATAGTCATTAAGACAAAGCAATGAAGATCACTATTTAATTATAATTAATCATATGCGGAATCTACATATTAATTTTAATCATTTTATTATACACTAGTGACTTACCCTAGCTTCGTTCGGGTGTGTCCCTAGGTACGTTTTAAATAGATATGAATAGTTATTGCGACCTTAGGAGAAAGACTTATGCTATTGCAGATTTTCTGTAGGCCTTATTAAGACCTATAATTTTCTAGTACATTGTTTTGATGTACGAGTATGTCGAGTTTAGCCAGCTATAGATATGGAAATTTCTAAGATCGACGCGATAGAACTAGTTATTGTATTTTCCCGTGGGAATGAAAGATTTTTTGTAGTAAAAGGTATCCTAAATGTTGACGTAGTAATAAGTTATCACTAAACAAAATTTTGTTAAAATCGGTCCAGTACTTTTTGCGTGAAACGCGCACATCGATTTCGCAAAGTTACTGTTCTATTATATGTATAGTTGATATGAGATGCTTTACACAAGGCCATACCTTATGTTCTAAAAATAGACAGTGATTTTGTCTTAACAATTATATGTTTATAAACTGGTTTAGTTTGCTCATCACACGTTTATGACTAATCTATGATAATTTTTAACGTAATTATCCTCAATAACATATGCCTACTTCTTAAACCTATTGTTATATTATGTATATAATAAATATATTATCTTTTCTTGAATTAAGTTTTTTTTCTACAGAAGTATTATTCGTATGATACATGTAGAAAATTGCTTGGTTCTTTTTATAGAAAGTATGGCACCCATGCTTTAGTGTTTCCTCGGAAAAGATGAAAAGATGAAAACAAAACACAAAATTTGATTCAAATCGTTAGAAGCGTTTCCGACATACGCGAAATAATTCTATACTAATATTATAAAGAAGTAGAGTTTGTTTGTTTGTTTGTTTGAACGCGCTAATCTCAGGAACTACTTATTTGATTCGAAAAAACCTTTTGCATTAGATAGCCCGTTTCTTGAGGAAGGCTATAGGTTATATATCATCCTGAAAAAATGTACGGTTCCCGTGGGATAGATTTGTTTTTGCCTAGGAACGTACCCGAAGAGAAGCGAGGGTGAGTCGCTAGTTTATATATGTATGTATATACAAGAATTGCTCATTTAATATCATAAGATAAGACTGAATAAAAAGCTTTAAAAGCTTTTGGTTGTCGTAAACAATACAAAGTTTGATTTAAAAGCTCGGCAAAATATACATATTTTAATGGGTCGGTTCCATAAATAGAATTTAAGTGCGAAGTCTTAGGCGCTTCTACACATTCTGATGGTTATGTCTTTTGATTGCGGAAAAATATAAATAAAGACACAAGCAAAAATCAAAAAAAAAAACAAGTTAATTGTAATAATTTGTTGAACCCACTACTGCTAATTTCAAAATGCAATAAGTTCATAGAAGCATTATTCTTTCTTAGGTTTACGCGAATATTTAACATTTTAAATAAAACTATCTTTTCAAAATAAACCCGCGAAATAATCCGAAAAGATAGTTTTATTTAAGAAGCATGATTATTAACGTGACAAATATAAATATTTTTACAATAAAAAAATTCTTCGTTTTAAAAATTGCATAATAGGTATACGAGTATTAGATAGAAGTGCAAATATCA